ACCTCAGTGTGGTCCTCCATGCTCTTATCCATCCTTCATTTGAACCTCTGTCTTCGTGTTCATTGTATCACTTTTCCTTGTAGTATGTATTCTTGCTGATGTTAGTGTGCATTCGTTTTTGTTCAGATGGGTTTTCGATTGATTTTGCAGTTTTTTCATAGATCCTATGTCCTTTTTTTTCGTGATTGTTCCTTTCTGCTCAAGACTTTGGCTGCTGAAGAGGATAATTTGACTTTACCCCAATTTCCCTTCCCTCCATATCCCACCTTTATGACCATTCTGATCCTCACTGTCTCCTTTGCTTGGTAAGGACTTTCTGATGTTATAAGGCATGCACTACTCCCTTCTTTAGTTCCTGTGTTTTTTATTTTTTTACATGAAATTCTAACCTTTTCCCATTACCCTTAAGAATTAGATTTTCCTGGCATATTCTTCCCTTTCTCTGGATGATTGTCACCATTTTCTTGTTTCTTCCCACTAGATCCATCACCTGACCATGTCCCTGGCTACATGTTTCTCTCTTCCCTTGGAGGACGTCATCAGTACTGATATGTGGACCTCTCTGCATATCTTTATGTCTCACTACCTCCACCACATGGCCATTTCCTGCTCTGTGGGTTTCCGCTTACCTCCTGTCACCATTTTGCACTCCTCTGTTTCTCCATTCACTTTCTGACCAGGTATACTTATTCTTAAATTCACACTGTATGACCTGTAGTCATATACCATGCTAGATGAATGTGACATTGAGGCTCTTCCTACCATGGACCTGATGTACAATTCCAGATAATGTGTGGTGTTGGTTGATCAACTTCATCAATGTGCCTTCTTTGTTTCAAAATACAATATCATAACACATCATAAGGTCATGTTATACACACACCATTGAGATGAGGTGTTCTGCAAGACCTCGTAATAAGTAGGCACAATATCAGTCATTTGAGAGTAGGGAAATGGAATTCTGCTACTGTAGAAGGTGTGATGCTCTTCGTACTGCAGACCTAATGTATAATTTCAGATGTCATCAGGTGTTGGATGTAGCACTGTCATATATTGTAGTTAGCCCATCTGGCTGAGGGTCCCTCCTTCCTACTGTCTGATGGATGCCGATTCCTGGGTATTGGGTGTTGGTTGGAACCAGACCAGCCACATAAGTCCTCACATATGTTTGGATAATACACTCCTCCTCCTACCTCAGACTTGATGATATATTCCTACTGCTGCCAGGTTTTGGACTGGAGATGCAATCCCAAATAGTGGTCCCTCTTCCTACGGTCTGCTGGATGTCGGTTCCCGGTGGATCTGGTGTTGGTTGTAGCTGGATGAGAAACATGAATTCCCTCATGTGTAAGGCTGGGTACCCTCCTCCTCCTACCACAGACTGGAAGAAAAGTTCTCAATGCTGCTAAGTTTGGACTGGGGAGGAATGCCCACCTGGGCTCTCTACCTTCCTACCATCTGCCAGATGTCGGGTCCTAGTGGATCTGGTGTTGGAGGTGCACGCATGCAAAAGGGGGGTCCTTGGTACTGAAGCTCCTCTTCCCTACTTGTACCTGTTTTTGAGGAGAAAGGTAGAGGACCCTCTTCTCTTCCTACCACGGGCTGATGTACTGATGTACAATTCCAGATGCTGCCATGTGTTGGTGGAGGTCGAATTCCCATATATGGTCTGTTGTGCCTTAGCCACTTTATACCAAGGAGCCCCATTATTGCTGTAAATTTTATGGAATCCCTCCATATTTCTGTCTTTTTTTCTGGTGACACATTACTAAAGAGCGAAGATTATACCTGGCTCAGATGTGGTGCATTCTCCCACATGTATGTTGTTTTAATTTCCTCTCACACCCCATGATTTTCCTTTGGGCACTTCTCACCAGCCCTTAACTGTATCAGTGTGGGATTCTAGCTTTTTGTGAGAGGAGGTAAGATATCATATCAGAAGTGAACATTTTCCTGAACTGAAAATGTATTTCTGATAGATACTTACCTCCTCTCACATTTCACACGTATCCTCCCCATATCTAGTGTGATTTAGTTTGATCTGACCAATCTCAAAGTGGTTAACATGTACAAGATTAGAGAGGGTGCTAGTTAGGATAGGTGTAGTGTTGTTCCTGTTGGTGAAGGGTTTCTGCATTATTATTTGCAAGTTAGTAGGCAGAAATAACTGGCATTATCTAGGCTAATGGTGAGCAAATATTTGCTTCAGTAGAGGACAGTATAAGTCAAGAAAGCTTTTTGTGAGAGGAGATAAGTATTTATTGAAAGATTTGGTAACTAATATTGATCTAATGTGTAATGAATCAAAAATATTAAAACTAATAGCATTTGACAAAAGGAAAAATACTAGCTTTACAGTCATTAAAGAATAACATCAACAATGTTATTGCACAAGTTGATAAAGGAGGGTATGTAGCAGTTTTAAATAAATGTGACTACCAAAAGAAACAAATAGTGATTCTATCCAATTTTTTCCCACCACACTTTTATACTTTACCAAAGATTCAGAAGTTAAACAATAGTTTTAGACCTTTTCTATCTAGTATGGGTACTTTGTCTCACTACGTTGCAAAGTACGTTGCTCAGTGGTATTTGTATTTGAGTAGTAAGAATGAATATACCATTGAAAATTCTGCTTAATTTATTGAGAAATTAAAAGCATTAAACTTAATCCATCTGATAAGATAGTATCATTTAATGTAGTTTTGGTGGAAGATGCTATAAATTGTTTTCAGGATAGATTAGTTCAAGCTTCCATAACTCCAACTGAAATGATTGACATCACTAAAAAAAAATTCCTTTTTAAAGTTAATGAAAGGTACTGTAAGCAAAATATTGGATTAACCATGAGATCCACTCTTTTCGCACTCCCATGCAACCTTTATATGGATAGTTTTGAAGGTATTGCTTAGGATAACGCATCTTTAAAACCTGAGTTTTGGATTATTTTCATGGATTAAATGTTTTTGGTTTGGCATGATGAAGATTTGTAGCTAAAAGTATGTGCTGATTATGTAAATAATGTTGATCCTTCTAAGTTTATTTATGAAATTGAACAAGACAATTGTTTATCTTTTTTTAATGATTGTTAAAAAGAAATAATAATGGAACTTTTCCTACAACTGTTTTAGCAACCATATTCAGTCTCCATTCCACCATGTGAATGACCATATCGCTCATTTTCACAAAAACTAGCAACTTCTCATATTTATACAGACAGAACATTTAAAATGAGTTCTAACGCAGTTAATTGGAAGAATGAATTGAATTAAATAAAAAACATTGCTAATGATAGAGGTTGTATTGTTAACATCATTAAATGTGTAATGTATAACATAGAATGTTGAATGTATAATACAGAAAAAGGTTTTATTAAGCATTTTACTGCATGAAACAGTGTCTATAATGAGAAAATTAACAGTATAGTAATTGCCTTATATATAAGATGAAACTAACCAATATGCCAGTGTATTTAGCAAATTTTATTTTTTTAAACCAATTTAAAAAAAATTAAAACAATACTTCCTAATACTAAAGATAAAGATATCTTAGATAAAAAAGGTATACAATGCTCCAGATAGCTAATATATCAATGCAAAATATGCATAACTTTTTTGAGAGATGTGTCAGTTTTTATTTTACACATATCAGTCAGTTACAGATATACTACCACCATTATGCTACAGTATCGATTGGTGTGCCCATTGGTTTGGTAATTTGCAAGCTTCACTATTTTCCCCCATCCTGTTTGTTTTATGTATGCTGTTTCTTAGCAATTTCCCTTTGTTTTAGACTGGTTTTATAGACTTTACCTGTAAGCCAAAAAATACACACATCACATGCATCATTACCAGTAGTGGAGAATAAACAATGACTGTGATTCCAAATGTAATTTGTATCTTCACAAAAATTGGAGATCTTTTAGTAAACATGAAAAGTATGTTGTTTACAAAAAATCAACTTTTTTGTTGAATATAGAATTTGTGTGAAATGTGAATTTCATGATAGGGATAACTTATACTTATTTCATTTTAAAGTTTTCATATTTTATTTGCATAATCTCTAGTACCTCCTAAATGAACAAAACATTTTTTGGTAACATTGTATATTTTATCTGTAGATTTCTCTAAACAAACAATGTGCTTAATTCCAGAAATAATCATAAGAATGGTTGAAAACATGAAAATTGACTAACACAGTTGTTTCATTTTCTGTATTGACTGTGATGTTACAAGTTACTTATATTCACAGTTTAAACTTCTGTTATTTTAATAAACATGTTTTTTTTAATATTGCTGTATTTAAAGAAATTGTTTAACTGCATGGTGATCAGTTTCCTAATGTCAAAATTGTGTCAAATAGCTTTATGTGTTTGTGTAACAAGTGTTGATTGTGAAATAGCATTTTCTGTACAAAATAGGCTCAAAACAAAATTCAGATGCTCTATGAAGACAGAAAAGATAAACTGTTTAATGAAAATTGTGATGTTAGGCCCAGACTATAAAGCACATTCACACCAACAATATGTTTGATACTTTTCACTATGACATAGGTCCAGCTTATCTCTCTTTGGTTAAGTTGTGTTCAGGGTTACTGATGAGGAGTGGAATTCTTCGAAACTAGTATAACCCAATAACACACGTTAATCAAAGTGTAGAATGAACTGGACCACCCTTGAACTTAGACTTCGAGATTAAACAATTTTTGAAATACTAAGTTTATTTATTGTTTATTGTCACTGTGAAAAAAAAAAGCTATATCAGTGACACCCTTTTGACACAGAAAAGTTCAATGGAAATTTATACATATTTTTTTTATTTAATAATCAATTGATAAGTGTTTGTAATTATGTTTGATTATTTTAGTCCATTCATAATGGTAATTACAAACAAATACTAATCAGTATGTCTAATTTTTTAAACCAGTAAAACTAATTATTATGAGTATTTATTATAGTGCAAGGTTTTTAAGTTGTGTGACTTTGTATTTAATGTTAGGAGGTCCAACAATGGCTGGGATTAATTCATCCTTCAAGTTTAACTCCTTACCTTGTTCCATCTACCACAGCTTTATTGACTGTTAGCACAGCTTGCCACTCCAGCCAGAGAGGTCAGTTGGAACATGCCTTATCAGCATTAAATACTCTTCAGTCCTCCATTTGGCCCTCCTTTGTGACATATTTTAAAGGTAGTATAAAACTATTGTGAACCATACTAAGCATGTACTACATGTGTCTTAAGTAAGATTCAATACATATTTATTTTAATTAATCAAGAGAAGTAACCTTTAGATCAACTAAGAATATTTTTCTCTGGACTGTACAACTCTACTGCAATAAAGTCTCATTCAGAATATATATTTACTTACATGTTTTATCACACTACATATGTTACAAACTACTTTATTATTAATGTATGTCAATAAATTTAACATCAAAACATAGTTTATAACTCAAATTTTATAATATATTTTAAAAGGAAATATTTGAATGAATTTTCAATCTGCACCTATGAGTTACAGATACAGTGGTGCTGTGTCCTCTCATTCATAGATTTTTTCTCTACCTGTATTAGGGTTTCAGATTATTCATCCAGTTAGAAACACATGTTGTATTTGTTAACAAGCCAGAAGATACATTTTCAAACTCTTCTCACTTTACTGACATATCACTATATTTGTTCACCAGACGTTAACATTAACGTTACCCTTGGCAATATTTATCTCGTGATACTCTCTACCTACGTCAATGCACCCTCTATCCTGGTACTGTAAATAAGCACCTCATTCAGATAATGCTATCACTTTTTATCGACAAAGTGTTCACTAACGGGTTTCTTCATACTAGAACTATGATCATTGGAGATACTTTGAGCATTCTCAGCGACATCTTGTTGAATTTCATAATAATAATAAAAAATATATATAAACATTTTTACCCATGGCAAGCCAATACATGGTATAAATTTCCAGATTATTATTTCTGCCACAGAGGTAAATCATGTCTCTCCTATCCCACCTCTGATATCTAGCATTGCACAACATCAGGGAGTGGGGGTCACTCTCAGTTGAGACTGTTGGTAATATTATTCGTAGTGAGATGGAAACATATGTTCAGTTCAGTGGTGTTTCTCCAGGGGGGCTCTGAGGCTGCAATTGCAGGCGATCATGGACATTCTGGAGAGAATTTTGATTAGCTTTTTCCTGTGCCTTCATTTATTCTGTTAGCTTCTCAGGGACAGTGGTAAACTTGTGGGCTTGCAATGCTGAAGTCTGGGGTTCGATTCCCTATTGGGGACATATCAGTTTTGCTCTAACACAACAAACTTTCCTGACAACATGTTGTTCCTAACAACTGTAATCAGAAAAGTCTTTACAAGATATCACAAAGGAGGCCACTTCAGGATCAGCTGCTTCTGAGTTATTTTCTTCAGTAGGTACATTAAGTATGATGTTTTAGGTCTTTCCCCAGTGGCTTTTGAGCCTGCACTTAGTTAATGGCTGTAAGGTCTGGTCGTGAATATTTAGTTCTCCTTTCATCCACAAATATTGTGGTTCATGCAGGGAGGTTTACTGCCCAGTTATGTGATGGGACAACTAGGCTTTAACTGCCACAGTTGTCGGAAATATGTGATTTAGCCTACAACCACCAGGTGAACTTATATTCAAACTCAAACACTACATCTGCTCCTCGATATTAGGGGTTCTAAGGTGGAGTTGGTAGTTCACCTGGGAAATGGGTATGTCTATGGACTACAACTCTAACATCCAATGTGTTGTTTTCCTAACATTAAAACCTGTTGGAAGACTCTCAGGATCTTCAACTTCATTTACTGACAAGCTGGAATCATTGTTAGCATGCTCATTGGTTCAATTGTCGGCTTCTACATTCATTCCTGTTGTCATTGGCCTCTTGATTTTTATTGGCGACTACAGGGAGTCATAGTTCCACCCATTTTTGATGGTCCCAACCCCTGACTTCAGCTCCTTAGTATATGGGTACCCAGAATAGATTCTGTCTATTTCCACAGGCTCCACTACTCAGTCAGAATGCCACTGGCAATGTTGGGGATTATTGTATGCCTTCGAGGTCTGTGGAGGGCTTGACTCCGAGAATAAATTAATGTTGCGTTTTGGAACACTCTCATTAACCACCCCCCCAAAAAATGTACATCACGTACATAAGTTAAACGAACCACCTAAACGTCACATTAGTGTAGCCTGTATAGTGTGTAAAGTTTAGTATGCTCTAATCCCTTATAGTGATGGTACACAATGAGAAACACATTCAGCATGTAATGCTGTTTGAATACAAGAAGGTAAACAATGCCTCTGTAGCCACAAAAAATATCAAAGAAGTTTATGGAAATGTTTTGAATGTTCATAAGTGTCAACGATGGTTCAGCAAATTTGGTTCAGGTGACTTTAGCCTTAAAAACTGTGATGGCAGGGGCTGAAATGTTGGAATTGGAATTGATGCTCTGAAGATGCTTGTTGAGTCTAACCCAAGGCAACACACTCATGAAATGGACCTGTAATTGCATGTCTCTCATGAAACAATATGTAAACATCTAAGGAATATGAGAAAACTTCATGAAAAAGGTGTTTGGATGCCTCAAGAACTCTTCGATAATCATCGTTTCCAACGTGTGAACGTTGCTTCATTTCTTCTGGTGCGTAATGCGCGTGAACCATTTTTGGACAAAACTGTCACTGATGATGAAAAATGGATTCTCTATGCAAATATTAAATGCCAAAATCAATGGCTTAGTCGTAGACAAAAACCACTTCCAACCCCAAAACCTGGACTCCATCCGCAGAAAGTGATGCTTTGTATTTGGTGGGACATCAAAGGAGTAATTCATTTCAAATTCCTCAGTCCACAGCGAACTGTCAATGCAGAGATCTATAGTCAGCAACTGGATTGTTTAAATCAAGCCCTTCATCAGAAACGGCCTTCACTCATCAATTGGAAAAGTGTTCTCCTTCTCCACAACAATGCACGTCCACATGTGGTACATTTGACGCAACACAAGATTATGGAGTTGGGTTGGGAAGTTCTCCTCCACCCATCATATTTTCCAGATATGGCACCATCAGATTATGATATTTTTTGTTCGCTGCATCGTAATGGGAAAACGTATCCAAATGTGGAAGGTGTTAAAGAGGACATTGACATGTTTTCTGCTTCAAAACAAAGTGATTTCTTTAATCAGGGTATTAACAACCTGATTGTAAGATAGAAAAGCATCATCAATAAGAATGGAGACTATTTCATTTAATAAATATTTTGTTTTGATATATAAGTTGTTTGGGTTTTTCCATCTAAAAAACAAGCGACATTAATTTCTTGATGATCTAATACAATTTAAGTAAGGTGTAGTACCCTCTATTTTTGGGGAAAGAGCCATGTCTACCAAAGTCTAACCATTATGAAAATATATACATTTCTGAGGAGACCCATTTGTGTAATATTATTATTTAGACTTTACTGCGATCAAGTTATTAAATGGTTTTAACTGAAAGTAAACTTAATGTGTATTTGTGAAACTAATTTTATGATTAATCCTAGAATTACTAATGGGGTCCATAAGGACCATATTGGTTTTTTAAATATGTTTTCATAAACTGTTTATGATTAGTGTGTGACCAGTTTATTTGAAACTGGGATTAGAAAAGGTTTTCAAGATGGTTTCATTGGCAGTGGTATGTCTACAGACTTACAACGCTAGAATCCAGGTTTCGATACCCGTGGTGGGCAGAACACAGATAGCCCATTGTGTAGCTTTGTGCTTAATTACAAACAAACAAACATTGATTTCATTGATATAGTGTTGTTTGATAATTTGATATAGTCATTAGATAACTAGATAACTTGTTTTACTTGAAAACAGTGTGAGAGACCAAAAGCTTGTCAAGAACTGATTAAGAGGTGTTAAAAGGTATAAAAGTTGTTATAAATTGTAAAGATGTTTTACCACAGTTTTATAAGCTGAGTTTAGTGAATTATATATTATTTATTTTTTTACTGTGTTTTGATATTCACTAGTAGTAAAATTATTGAAGATTCTTTTCATTAAAATATTTCATAAGATCTAAGTTTTATATGTGCCATCTGTAAGATGCTTATTTATAATGTACTAATAATCTCAATATCTATATTTTAATTGAAAATTTAAATTCCCTGGCAGATTATAAACAAGCCTACTGAAATAGCCACTAGTTAGTGAAAGACTTGATAAGTAAAATCTTTCAAATTTAACCATTATGAAACCTGTATATACTGATTTTTGTTATTCTTTCAGGCTATTTACACTTCCTATTACAACAGTATAATGAAGGTTTGAACAGTGTTTTGAGGTTCTGGGAGTCTCAGAATAAACATCTTGATAACAATGTGAAGGCCAGATTCTGCAATTTGATTGGTTGTTTCTTAGAGGAACAGGTATATGTAAATTTAGTTTCATTTTTTACTATGATGAGGTATAAAATATTTTTAACAAAATGTTAAAATGATCTTCTAAAAGCAAGAAACATTTTACATCAGAAATTGTTTCATTCATTACAGAGGATTTTAGCTGTAAACTCTTGGTAATAGTTGAGTAAAACACAAATAATACATGTATACTTATTGTGAGTGAAAGATAGTAAAACATTTTTATTCTGGTACATCATTCTTTTACCATTTTCACCAACAGAAAAAGCCATCTCTAGCTTGGTTCCAGCAGTCACTGAATGAAGATTACTCCTTTTTTGTAAGTATATGGAATGTTGCTACATATTTCAGAAAACTTGGAAATCAGAAAGCAGAGATAAAAGCACTGGAGCTCTTAGTGAAGGTAATAAAAATACATATTAATTCATTGTGCTTTTAGTACCAAATTAATGGTTTTTTATCAATTTATTAAAAATAAAAGTTAAGAAAACCTTCATGTATAATAAAACAGTTCAAAGGAGTTATTTCTCTATTACGGTAAATTGATACCTTTTGTTAAATGTTCACAGAAAAATTTGCAATATTTATTAAATAGATATTCTCTTGTCATAAGATTTCAACTGTGGTATGAAAATATAACTATATATTGGAAAATTATTCTTTCTCCCATTTTTTTGTGGTATTATCAGTACAACTATATTTTAAAAAATTATTATGAAAAGCTTATTTTTTATACTGAATTTATAACTATATTTGTAAACAAAAATGTTTCTCTCTCTCTCTCTCTCTAACAGTTTTTTTCCCATGGTATTGGTTGTCTTAAGATTTGTGAATTAATTTTACTAAATTAAGTTGTATGTAAGTTCAAATTAATTTAAAACTTTCAGTATTTTCAAAAAGTAGGAAACATAAACAAATGAGTTTAAACTGTAAATACATTGTTGTCTAAAATTTTAAAACCCAGAGCGATATACAAGCTCCATTACCAAAAAGAAAATTAGGATAATCTTTTGGTTTTTGTTTGTTATTTATCAGTATTATTGCTGTGTATTTTTTTGGTAATTTAACATAAAGAAATAAACATATATTTCAAGACCTAAATTACAGTGATTTGGAAAGTTCATGTACTGTAGGTCCTAAATGTAGTTCCATTACAAAATACCATGTATCTCTACATCTTAAACTTTATAAAAATATGTTAATTACTTGTTTTAAATTTGAAAACTGAAAAAAAAAAAGAAAAATAATTATTTTAAGAATACTTATATTAAAAAGAATGAAGATATAAAATACACCCAAGAAATATTATAAAACTAGATTATAGCCTGTCAAAAATGATGGGGCAAGTACTACCACCCCACCCAATAGTATACCCTAACCTCCAATTTCTTAACTAATGAAATAAATAAATTTTGCAAAATCATTCTTGACCAAGAAAGAGGCAGAAAATTGCAGTTGAGTCAGTCAAACATCAGTAAATTCCTGTGTGAGCCAATCAAAATTAAGATCATTCATGAAATGAACTTGTGGCGTATTCATAGAATAATTATTGGTAAAAATCAGGTGGATTAACAACTTCTAACATATAGAAAATCCAGTGCCCTTTGATAACACTACATTCCAACAATGGCTTTTATCTCACGTTGTTTAGCAACAAAAGTATAACCTAATATTATTGTTAGTCTATGTACTGAAAGTATAAAATAAAATATATAGACAACAAAACTGTAAAAATATTAGTTGATTTCTTAATTTAGAATCTCCGTTGATTAAAGAAGTCTGTTTTTATTTAAAATGTTGGGAATGTAACAGAAAAAGCTTGATTCAGAAAGGATTTAAGTTTAAAATTGAATCGATATTTTTTACTTTCATGATAACTTTTATGCACTTAGCTCTAAGCTAGGTGATCCCACACTACGTCTACTTTAGGCTTATTATAACAACACTCACTACACTTATATGGTTTCACGGTACCACTACCCCCTCCCTCATAGCCCCACTAAAATCATAATGGGTGGGCAGTAATTGAACTATTTTATCGGGATAAATGCATTTTGGCATTTATGATTCCTTCTAATTTAAGAAATCAGATGTGACATGACACACATTGGCTGTTGTATGGGTTAGATGACAAGAAAATAACTTACATCTATATTCAGATAAGGAAGTGTGAACAGTTAAACATACATATTAGTTTGTAATGTAGAAATATAAAGAAAGAAATGGTAACAAGCATGCATGTTGTAAATTGGGAATGTCCATCAATAATAGCATCACAATACATTGTTTGGGTCAGTGAATTTTAACAATGACATGAGATAATATTTACATAAATCTGTCACTGAAAAAAAAAGAAAGTCATTAAAAGACAATGTAGTTAAAGAGTCCATAATGTTCTCATTAATGGTCTTAATATTAATGACTAATGAACAAGAAATAAAATACAGACACTTATTTATATTATTATGCACATACATGACTCATAATTTTCTGCCTTGTGAAATTAACAATCTTAATTCATTTACAAGAAAATAGAGAAAAATAGCAAAGGAATAGCAAATGCTAAGCAACTGAAAAAGAACCAAAATCAATTTCAAATTATTCATAAGCATTTTTTTTATGTGAATAAAATACTACAGTATGTTCACCTACAAATTATTATTTCATTCAATAAAACAATTTCTTATAAAATATTTTAGCTAAGAAGTAGAAATGAAAAAAATGAATATTATACTTAAAACATATGATGCACCATACTTGTTTATGACATTAAATTTGCTACTTCGTTAATTTAGTTTACTGGAGTAACATTTGGAAACCTGTTTTTAAAAGTGCGACAGCATAAAACTCTAGTAGTTCTTTCTCGCTTTTCTTATGTGAAATATATTTGTTGATGCAAGTCAAAGAATACTGATTTCTGAATAGCAACTTAAATGTGGATTTAGTTTTTTTAAATAGAATTAGCAAAGCTTTAGAAAGTTAATTATAATTGACATATTAGGTTTACTTTACTGTACTTCCAGTCAACAGTAAATCAAAACCTGTATGAGAACAGTTACCACAAACTTGAAGGACCAAATGGGACAGGGCTTTGGCTGCTTTCTTCAGCACCAGAAGTTAGTCATCTACAGGCTGTTTATGCTCTTGCTAGACGCTTATTGGAGATTGGAATGTATCCTCAGATTTCAACATGGTACAGCAGGATCTTACATTACCTTCACATTGATAGGATAAGCCAGGTATGAGATTACACATAAAACCTAGATATCATTTCACTGAGCTCCTAAATAAGGTTGTTAAATAATTCTATTTCAGCATTTAAAATGTAGAAGCTTCAATTTCATCGTGCAACACAAGAGATCTTGGATAAAGATCCTGAATTGATCTAATCATTATGCTTTTGCTTATGATTTCATTTGATTTAAAAATAAAGTTATATATTACCTCATTAGTAAATGTGTTGAATCAGTTTATATATATATATATATATATACATATATATATTTGTTCACCTGTATGTGGTTTAGTAACATCTAAATAATAACTGTTTAATGAGAGAGATTTTTTTAAATATTTACTGGCCATAGGAGAGCACTATACAACTGTTTAAGAAAAAAATATATCAAAGATAATAAGTTCGTTACAACACTTTTTTCATCCCTCATTTTATATTACAGTGATTGTTAAAAATGCAACATGTATAATATTCAAAGTTAATTAGAAGGTACATTTATTATTGTTATAGGCACTTGCCAATTTTACCATTTGCAATAAATTTTGGGTATTTGAAAAAATGAATGGTAGAAAAAAATAAGTTTCAAAGACTTAAAATGCTGAGATTACCTTTCTGTCAAAAAAGATATAGGACTCATTAAAAACAAAAAAATTAATAACTAAATATGACAAAATTTCTGAAAAAGATTGCTATTTCAAAATCAAAGTGCAGTAATAAGATCATTAGAACAGGTTTTCACCTTTAATTTAAAGTAATATTGGCATAAGCTACACCAAGTTAATGAAAAGTTAACTGGCACAGTGTGAAATAATTTTATTAAATGAATTAATAAGTAAGATTAACTAGTCTTGAGTTGTCACTGTTTGCAGTGGAAAAAAATTAAGAAAGATTTGTAAAACTCAGAATTTGGAATTCACTTCACTGTTAACAGAGTGGATTACACCTACAGGATTTTCCTAATATAATTCCTATATTTGATTGACTTCACTACAAATGTGTCAAGGAGGTTGACTAAATTTTTTGTCAGTGGCATTAGTTTTAAAGAATATTGAACATCAATCAACAGGTGTGTTACTGATAGATCTAAGTATTTAATGTAAACCACCTTTTCATAATCATATTATGTAAAATAGGTGGTTATCACCATAAATCTAAATTTTCAATAGTGATAGTAAGAAAAAATGAATCACTTAACAAGTATATTCACTTTTTATTGCAACATATGATTTGTATTTTGAAAATTAGCAGTCAAACATGCTAATTCTTTTTGTTACTCTTCCAGAAACATTACAAAAATATAATATACATATTTATTTATTTTTCAAGATGGAAAAACAAGTGATAAAAAAATATTCTACACCATAAAAACTGAGAAAAAAATGTGTAAACAGAATAGACAGAAAGAAGTTGATGTTATATTAACACAATAGAAATAAGGTAGAATATACTTAATGTATCCTATTGCTACTATGTAAACTTAATATTGTCTGTAATTCATAAAAGGATACTGTTATCATTAAAAGAAATAAAATTTAAGTTAAGTTCTTTATGATTTTAAGAAACATAGCACAATTTATATCTTTTGTGTTTTTTAATATTCAGTGTGATTATAAAGAAAGTTCAGTACCCCATATATTACAAACAGTATGACATAGAAAGGTGAAATTGCTCAGGAGTGTTAAAAGTATCATGTTGACACCAGTGCCTCAATTTTCATATGATGCCACCAGGGATTGTACTGTGTTTTATTTTGCATATTTCCATGGGTATAAATGAGTCTGTTGATTGCAGTGCTGCTCATTCAACCAAATGAAACAGGCATGGTGAACTGGTGAAATTTTACAACACCAGTGGATGAAATACTAAGTTAGACCATAAACATCTACACAGATTCTCATTGAGATAACCCGGCTGTAGTAGAACAAGCTAGCATAAATACACATGGGTGCAAAAGTGCAAGTGATGTTGCCTTGTGTCAGGATTTGTCCTTCATAAGGAACTTTGATTAACTTTACGAATGTAGTAATTCAAGCCAAATTATATTTGAGCATTGGAGAAGGTGAAATTAACCCAACTTTTGTAGTTCTTTGTAACACAGGAAATGTATAACCAATTATCTATTAGTATCCTATGTACTGATCAAGCTTACTTCTCCTCATCTGGTCATTTCCGACATACTTGCATGTGGTGTGGTTTCACAACTGACATTATGTTTGGATAATTCTTTTTCAAAGAACTATCAGCACGTGGATGGTAACTTCACAGTCATTGCTTTATGCTACCATGCAATGCATATGACTAATGTGATTTCCATGCTGCAGCAACAAACTGTGATAAACACTATGGTTTTCACACTGTATGTTATCCCTTTGCATATTGATAACGTCTTGCAGGATCATTTTCAATACAGAATAATTTCATGTCAATTTTTTTTATGAATTGTCACCTTTTTCTTCAGACCTAACATTAGATGATTTTTGTCTGTGGGAGTACCTGAAATCACACATTTTTTACAGGAACATGAAGGCTACTGTTGTTGGAAGGAAGTCAAAAATTATCTTTAGCATTACATGTTCAGACAATATATTTTGATTAATCAAAAATCAGTGCTAAACCAAAATTCTTTCATCAACAAAACACAAGAAAATAGATAGAAATATTTGAAAATAGAGAAACATGTTTAGTAATGAAATGGTATTTGAACTCAACCCTACTTGGAAAGCTTTCTTTTTTTTAATTAGTTTTTGCACTCAATTCTTTAATCATCTGTACATTGTTATGCTCATAAGTTATTACTGTTTTTTATGGTTCCTTTAACACTCTTGTGAAATTTTCCCTTTACTGTTTGTGATGAAGTGCAGAACTTTTTTATAATCACTCTTTATATGTATACAAACGTATTTAATTTTATGATTTCCTTGTTGTTCAGTGTAAGAAAGTTTTCAAGAATTTTGTTTAATAAATACATTTTATGCAGATTACTCCACCACAAGAAAAATATCCTGCTTCTGTTGGAGTTGTTCATATTGAAGCTTGCTATGCACTGATGCATTCAGGGTATTTTCAGAAATGCATGGATGCATGTGATTATATCCTGACTATCTTAACGGGTGAGCAAGTAATGAAAATGTCTTTTGAATATGTGTCAAGGGAACATAAAAATACAAAGTTCACTTCCAATTCAGAGAACTCTGTAGAAACAGCACCTTCAACTAGCTGCGAAGCACAAGTATCTTGTCCTAGGTCATTGTCACAGCAAATTGAAGCTATATCTAGAAGTAATAAAATTGAAGAAAAAAGCTTCATTAGTTGTGGAATTAAAAGAAATCGACCTCTCAGTGGTGAAGATGTTTTGGAAGAAGAACTTAAAATCTCTAGCTGTGCCTCTTGTGAAGTGGTTCGGACAAATCTTCCATTTGGAAGTGTTCTGTTTGCAGTTAAAGCTGCAGCTTATCATCATTTGGAAGAGACAGAAGCAGCATTGGAAGCTCTAAGAAAGTAAGAATTATTCATTTGTTGTATCATTAATTGTGTTGCACCAGAATTTATGAAAGAGTATTAAATAAAGTGCTTGAATTGAAAATGCAGTATGGCCATAATACAATGTATAACATGGAATAACTTAAAATCAGAAATTTGCAGTGATTAGATAGCATTTAATCAACACTTGCAGAGATGCTGCCAAATCATGGGATCATGCAAATCTCCCCCTTTTGGTGCTAGGTCAGACAGGTGAACTCTTCCCTCCACCTAAAAAAAAACACATTTTTAAAGCAAAGTTTGCAATTTTTACATGCAAGGAAATGATTGGGACAGCCTATATGAACCAAAAGTTTCTTTGCTGACCTTTAATGTTATGTTATAAAAATAAGCTATGTTATCCTACTAGATAATATTTATCTATAATAACAAGTTTGTGAATTTGAGGTTGTGAATGTTGTAGTTTGCTTTTTTTAAAGTATTGTTATTTACACATTTATATTTTTTGTGCAGTAACACATGCATAATTAATTTTTATTCATCAACATAATTTTAAAAAGAACATTCACTTCTTTTAGAATGCTATACCACTGAAGTGTTAAACTATGTTAATTTAGTAATCTTTTACTATTAGTAATTTTGTTGAATCACTCGGATATCTTTTTAAACTTCTTTTTTCTTTTTTTCATTTGAAATTTAGAGCTCAACAATTTATGGAATCAAGGTCTATTTCATTGATCTCAAATTTTAATAAAAAAGATGAGCAACAAAAAAGACACTTGAGTGCTCCTTGGAAAGTGATTGGAAAGTCAGGGAAAATGGAATTGAGGACAGAAAATTGGGATGGGTTAAATGAACCATCTGCTAAACGGCCACGACTCTTTCTGAGCACAGGTCAGTCTAACTTGAAACACCTGCAGCTTGTAATTTAACAATTGGCAACGAATTAACTGTTGTTTTTTATTCCTTTTCAGTCTGGTGGATTTTAGTGGCAACATTACATTTTCAAATATCCCGTCTAACATTTTCCTTCAAATCCTCCATAAAATAAAATATGTGGATTTAGGTTCTTCCTGTGATGTGGTTTTATTTTTATATATATTGGATAAGGTAATCAACATTTCACATACTGGTTTTCATTTCAATGAAAATGTTACATTGCTAGAGGAAATCAGAGTTAGGGAAAATAATGTTCATTAGTTATAATGCTTATATCTAAAGTAACAGTATTTAAAAATTTAACAAAACATGAAATATTACAGGTTGATCAATAATATGTATTACTTACCAGAATATGACCACTGGACTGAAAAGAGTTAAGACTATATCTCAATAGGATTTTTTGGATTTCTTCACAACAACAAAGTAACTCTGTAGATTAAAAAAATTAGAAACTTTATTTACCTTTATTTCAGAATATTATTAAAACATGACTTCAGCCATAGAGAGATGTTCAGCCTAAAAACTTAAAACATTGTTGTTGTTTTTACTGATTATCTGATAAAATATTTTGTTAAGAAAGAAAGAAAATACCTCTTTTTCTTATCATTACAATTGTTCTACTGTTATTTAAACTTGTTACTTTGAATGTCTCCATGATTGTGATTCATGATATTTTGAATTATTTCTTACATACAGTACTTTTATAATAGTCATAGCCCTGGGCTTTTGGCAAATTCAAAAAGTATAACTTCCATGGCATTTCAAAGAATTTCAAGAAGTGAAAAAACCAAAAGAATTTGTGAAGAAAAATTACTTTCGGTTTGTTGGCAGTTACTTATTGTATAAATGTAAATAATATCATATGAGCTTGGGCTTGGGCTGTTTGACAAAACACTTACAACTTTTAAACCTATTTTGTGAGAAATTTTATTCTCTGTTTACAAGAGGATATTGCAGACCTGTATTTCAAGCATTCCTGGTTTCCTGTAACTCAAAATTTGATTGACAAAACTGAAATATGAAGAGAAACAAAAAATTATGTTGTAAAAATTTAGATTTTTAACTACTAAAGTCTACTGTAAATAGAACAAGCTCCTAAACAAATAAAAGGCTACATACAGGGAAATGAAGATAAACAAAACTTGAATACACAAAATTTATGTTCACATGTAAAATAATAAGTTTAAGGGATTTTTCCTGAGCACTGTAAACTATGTATCATTGTATACAAGACTTTCAGTGAACTATTGTTTTTAGTTTGTTTTTCTGGTCCTTAAAAGCAAAGAATTTGTCATTAACATTAGTTCAAGTTTTGCCTTCATATTAACTTATTGCAAATCACTGATATTATATTACGTATTGCAATCTTCAGCACTGCAACACTTGGAAACAGTAAAAGGGGCCAAACAGTATTACATTTTATGTTGAGTTATAACCTTAAGTTGATTTTTAGTAAAACAAACAAAAGATAAAATTAAACAGACACAAAACTACTTTTAAAAGGCATATGTCAAATAAACACTACAGTAAATATGAAAAAAAATGAAAAAATAAAAATCTCAGAGACTGACAAACAACTTTTTAAAAAAACAACAAAGTTGTATAAGAAAGGTAAAGTGCCTACAACTGTATTTCTACAGAAATGTAACTGAATTTGTTCAGTACATTTACCAGCTAATAAATACAATTACAATATATATTTTCATAATGCTACATTTACATTGGCAGAAATAAAGCATTGAAATTTTTATATAATTCATCAGGATTACACAAGTTCCATCAACATGCTTGGTCCATGTCGTCAGAGCTGTGAACTATAGCATCTGCTGCATCGTGTAGGCCTGTAAGAATGGATGCTTGTCTCTTGAGGTAATTTTTTCTCATAATGGGAATGTTTGAGAAACCTTGTGATAGGTACTATATGAGCAAAGCAGCTCTTGCACCATCTCTGCATTGACAGTGCCATGCTGAAATGAGTGGATTAGAATTGGTAGAATACATTATCGATAGGGAATACTATTGCTGGATACGTGCTTTAGCTAGATTTTTACATTTAACAGAGAATAATTTTTCTTGCTGGCCAAAATATCATACAGTTCACTTTCAAAAACATATTCATGAGCATAGGATTTTCTTTTTAAGCTAATAAATACCAGTGTAAGGTAAAGAAGGTAATGTTTGGACAGTTTTGGTAACCAATTATGATAGGTTGGATTTTTCAGTTATATGATATTTCCTTTCTTGATGAAGAAAACATGGTGATTTGAATCCAAGGGTCATGTACAAGCTTCATAATTCATATGATGAATTATGGCAGCATTATTATTTCTCTTGTTAGCAAGTTATGGTCAACAATAGATGTCATGTGTTCATCTGTGGACACTATCATCACTGACCTTACAAGGGATAATTGCTTATGTGTATTGTAACTCCTTTATTGGATTGAGTAGTTAGTACTCGTTTGTGTGCAGACATGTAACCTAGAAATAAGATCGCTGTGCCTCCTTTTCTATAAGCCATCAGTTTGTGTGTTATGGGGATGTGCATTTCATTTATTTCTTGATTACTGATATGCCTGTATCTCAAATAAAGTGGAATAAAGTTGCACTAGCCAAGTGGACTGTTCTCTACATGGCAAGAGAATCCTTTGAACTCAAAACAGTTGACAGAATCTTATTTTACAATCCAATGTTCAGCTTAACTATTAGGACAGTTAATTATGTCTGTACTAGTCTCACATGAGGTTTTCTCAAAGATGGAAGCCTTGATACTAAGTCATCAAACTAAGATCTTTGTAATCCTGTATGATTGAAACTTCTAATAAATGAATTTGTCTTACTTATTAAAATCTACCCCTGCCAATCTCTGTGTTATTATTTGAATGCCATACATTAGGTTCATGATATCTGGGATATGAATTTGTCTAGCTTATTAAAATTCATCCTTGTCACTCTTTGTGTTACTGTTTGAATGTTATCAATTAGGTTCATGATATGAGTTTGTGTAACTGTTTGAATGCTATTTATTAGATTCATGATATCCATTGTCAGGTTTTATAGGGTTGGATTCCTTACAGTAGGTGTCTGTGACTTTTTGAAGATAAATTTCTACAATAAATGGACAGCACTCCATCCACTTGTTTTGAAAAACAAGTAAAACACATGTACAAAAATATGTTACACTATTGGTTATCACAGTTGTATCCAGAGCTTTAAATAATTGTCTCCTTTTCATTAAAGTCCAAATAGGTGGGTTCATTTACTTTAGAACACCCTTTGACAAGACAAATTATTCTCCTATATTACAATACAATCTGTGAAACTCACTTTAGGAACTTCCCATTACAGGTAAACTGATACAAAGTTTAACTTCACTTTTACTTTCCCTGAGGCCTAAACTTTCTACAAAGTATGAGATATTATGATGTAACAATACTCACTTAAAGCAACAAGAAAAATTCAAAAGGTTCGAGTAACATGACGCCAATTCACAACAACTGAATTACACAATAAATGGTTCGTAAACAGTTATATAATCAAACCTGTGATAAGTTGTCGCTTCTAAAAATACAAAATTCAACACTTGTGCTTTATAACTTTGTAAATCATATTAAATGAAACAGTTGTATGTATCTAAAATTTATGATATGAGTTTGTGTAATTATTTGAATGCTATCCATTAGGTTCCATGATTCGGTCCTGTTGACATGTGTGTGGTCCTTCAGCTAAGTTTCAATGAACTGAATGTAGTCTGTAGAAAAATATTTTCCACTTATTAAATGAAACAGTGGTGTATCTAAAATGTATGATATGAGTTTGTGTAATTATTTGAATGCTATCCATTAGGTTCCATGATTCGGTCCTGTTGACATATGTGTGGTCCTTCAGCTAAGTTTCAATGAACTGAATGTAGTCTGTAGAAAAATATTTTCCACTTAGGGGACTCTGACAACCACTATCTTACATCAGCAGGAATAATAAAATTCTGATTTACAAACTCCTGTAAACTGGATCCACACTTAAGATGCTATGTTTAGAGCATACAACACACTTGGAATTATTTTTGTTAATCTAATGCTAAAGTTCACACTTTTTGGACTTGATAAGTCAGGAACGTTGCCTGATGCTTGTGAAGGGAGCACACAGCATGGCCAGTTCGTAGCACATGGTGAACAACTACATCAACTGGGTCATGATTTGCATCAGATCGCTTTTGCTGAAAATACTGGTGATATCATTTATTACACATTTATACATATGAGGCTCAGACAGTTTCTTTTCTCTCAGAAGATAAGTTCTCAGTTCTACATTATGAGGTCCAGAAACAGATCTTTTGTCATTGGTATTTGCCGTAAGATGACAAGCAGCATATCTATATTCTACAGACACCATGAACTAGGTAAAAGTGAAAGATTTCTTTTAACCCTATCACTGTGGCTGGGACATATATTTCTCAGTGCTCCTACCTCATACAGCGACTGGGACAAATGTTTCCCATTGTCATTAAAAATTTGTGTGTGTAACATACAGTGTTAAGATGAGTTGGAAAGCATTTATTGGCATCCCACCTAATGTAGATATATGGTTTCTCTCAGTGTTTTCCACTCTGCCCTTCAGTAACCAACAAGATGCCTAAGCAGAATGTACGACAAGTGGGTGCTGACCATGCCTGCATTGCTAGAGTGGTGAGTAGTAACCCTAATTACTATGTAAGTCAAGTGGTGTTCAAATGTGCGATGATGAAGAGGCAATGAGACAAGAGGATGCTAGCTCTCCATCTAGTGATGATAGTCAAGATGATGAACCTGGACCCAGTAGAGGAAGGCATAATCAGCATCAACAATAGGAAACATTTGTCCCAGCCGCAGTGAATGGCTTAATATGTGTATATAGTAATGCGACAATGCTCATTTATAGATAGAGAAAATGAACATATGGCATGGATAAAATCCATCTTTTATGATTAGCTATACAGATAACACTGTGTTCATTGGTTTGATTTTTTGCTTTTCTTGAATATGTTGCACCTTATGTGATGGTTATGGTAATTTACATATTTTCAAATATTAGAACTAAAAATGATTTACAAACATTGCTAGATTAAAAACAATATCAACATGTTACTTAACTAAGGAATATTATTCGTCTCCAAACATTTTGAGTATTCAGTCTGTAAGCAAAATGATTTTTAAATATATCATGTAATTTATGATGGCAAACAAGGTACTAAAGGATTTGTTGCTTAAAAACTGCACTGATATTGAAAAATACGTTTGAAGTGTGGAACAATTACCTACATACATCTTTTAGCAAAAGTGGGCAATAATGGTACTATATGGCTAAAAATATGTTAAATCATAGAATATGATCTGAATAATCTGAAATGTACTTTAGCAAGGTAAAATTCACGATAAGCCTTATTTAAAAGTTATTGACCTAATACAAAATAAATATCTGCTCTATTTCGATGTAGTATTAAATTTTCAGACACCTGCTGTAAATATAGATGAAAAGAATTTTTGTGTTAAAATAATTTCATATTTTTCATCAAATTATGTGCAATATTTACTTTGAAAAATATAATAGCTGCATAATGTATCTTAATTCTCATCATGATAAAAAATACACAAACCAATTATAATTGTATTTTCTAAAAATAATGCTAATTTTAAATAAACCATTATTTAGTAGTACTATTCATTGACACATTATAAATAGCTAAACCAACTGATTCCCATTTCATGACTAACACTTCACAGTTGAAAGTGATGTCTTGTTCCTTTCATCAGTACACCTTTCTTTTTGCATAGTAGGTCCACGTATCTATTCCTATCACAAAATTTAAGTAGCTGTGCACTATGTTTATCCTTTAATTACTACAGTTGTAAAATGTTATAATTTTTAAAATCATTCTTAAGTAATTTGAATTTATGAACTGTAAGTAATTTATTATATGATGAGAACATTATTTTTAAGAACTTCTCAGTGGTATTCTGTCTCTTGTGTTAACTATAACATATAACTTGTACATTTTATTTGACCTATGACATGTCTTGTATGCATGATGTACATTCTCTTTATAAGACCACTAACATATATCTTGTATAACCAATAGAAGTAGGTATGTCAATGGTCATAAAGCATGTCTTTTATGACTTGTGACATGGTTTCTATTATAACCTCTATATATTTTTTGTTGTCTGAAATATGTAATATATGATCTTAAGAACCCAGGAGTTATAGCAGAGAATAATGTTTTAATATTTAAAGCACACTACACTTGCCATATCCAGTTCTGACAAGGCCTTTTATCCAATACCAGGATTCATCAGGCTGACTGGGATGCAATGGACATAGTAGTGGCCTGGGTGCTTTATATGTACATATATACATAACAAGTACTTAGAAGTACCTACACATATTGTACTTGTATGCATTGTTGACTGTTTGTTCAATCTGTAGCATAATATAAATGCTAATGATGATCAAAATCTATGTAGATGTGTGGGAAATAATAAATTGTAATATGTATTATTAACTAACCATTTTTCCAAATAGGAAAAACCAAATATTTAGTTTGTAATTTTTGAAGATGAAGGTTCCATTGACTAGTTATGTATTTGACATTTGTCCAAGAAAATTGCAGCATTTGTAAATATTAATGCTTCTATACCACTGTTTTTACAGAACATACAAAAACGAAAATTGAGGAACGAGAAAACAGTGCAACTGTCGAGTTTTCAAAAGAATCCAAACTTGATATCTTCAAGTCTCAGCTTTACAATAATCAAGCAGTCTTAAGAATAAAGAATAAACAGTTGAAAGATGCTTTAGTTCTTCTTAAATTAGCCTTGACAATATGGCAAGGTATGATTTACTAGAATTTGTTTATTTATTTTTGTAATTTGAGATAATGAATGCCATGCATTGTGCAGAGTTGTTAATAATTTTGTGATTCAATATTTTATATTTCATCAATAAACTATTTTGGAAATGTTAGCTTTTAAGTTTGTAATGTATATGTTTGTGGTTTCATTAAGAAAACATGGCTATATAATGTGTGCAAGGTTTATATTTTGGTCACTTATTAACGGATTCTGTAAGATAGAGATCGAACACAGAAAATGTAACTGGATGAAGTTTGTGTACTTGCTTTAATGCATATGCATGTATGTAAAGATGTAAAACAATTTATATCAAAATTTGGGTCAAACAAAGGTGCATCATATTGTTATTTATGTTCCTTATCTGTATGAACCATACACCATATCTTTATAAGGAGCATTTCTTGGGAATGGTTTCAGCCAAAATATGTTACATGTATCATTAAATAAGATTTATATAAGCAAATGCTGGACATTAATGTGTGTGTGTGTACATTTAATCTCACTTATAGTATTTATTTACAAGTTTTGCATATTTAATCTTAGTTTTGAAACTAAGTTTGATTTGCATTCCAACCACTATCTGCATTAAAAGAACAGGTGTTTTGACAAGTGATTTCATCAGCACAGAAAGCCATTATACCCAGCCTTTATGTGAATGTTTTTGTCATTATAAGATACATTATAGGTAAAATTCTAAGGCATTGTGAATGTGTTTTTAGCTTTGGTAATAAAGATAATTTTCTTTAACTGTGATGTCATAATATTTCTAATTTGAAAATAAAAACTTACCATGTTTATGATTAGGAAATGTGGATGCCATCTATAATTTGACTCTTCTTCAGTTGCAACTTGGATGGAAACAACAAGCCCAGCAGACATGGAAGAAAGGAAGACTTCACTATGAGTCAAAATATGATGATTCAAAAATATATGGATACCTGTCAATAACAAAAGAACAAATCATAAAACTTGACACAGTTCTAGAAAGTTAATACTGCCTAAATATGTTTGTAAGTTATGATTGAGGTTATAAAACGGTTAGTTATGCAACAATGTGTGTGTGACTAGTTTATAGGTACTTAAATGCTGGTTGTTGTAAATGGGTAATAATGTTCATGTCTTTACATTTTGCATCTTGAAAAATTAGTTTTGCTAGCAATTAGTTTTGATCTCTCCTCATGATATAAACATGTAATTGTTTAGCATTCAGCTATATTAGTATTTTACAGGTCAGTAGGACTGAGAACATGTAGGAAATATTTGGTCACATACAAGAAGTGTTAGGGTTTTTATAGGTGATATTTTTATGATACATAGAAATTTGTAAGTATTCCTGTAGCCACGAATATGTGGGGACTTAACTTGTATGATTCATGTCAGTATGGGAGACCTTTGCCACAGATCAGTAGGTCATTCAAGTTGTTATGAGAGGATTATCCATCATTTCATGTCTCCTTCTCCATTGTCTTTCATACTGGTTGTCCTTCCCCTCCCCAAGAGTCGTCTTGCATCCAGTTGTTGAGCACAAGCCATCCAGGATCTTCTGCACAAAGAGGTTGTAGAGCTTGTCAGCTCCTCTCTTGAAGGTTTTTAATTCACGTTTGTTTGTAGTACCAAAGGAGACACGCAATTGGAGATCTGTCATTTACCTTTTTCATCTCAATTATTTCCTTCAGCTTCCACAGTTTACAATGGAGTCGTTTTTTCCCATAATTGGCACTTTGCACTCGGTTTATGGATGTCAAAGTTTGATGTTGCCGATGCATATCTTCCTATTCTGATGGGCAGTCTTCACATCGTTATCTCTGTTTTGTGCATGAGAGATGGGTCTTTCAGTTTTGCGCTTTACCATTCTTCCTTGGATTTGCCCCATACATCTTTTGCCAGAGTGGTCTTTTACATGTCATCTTCACTCACTAGGCATTTACACTCACCATTATATGACCATCTGGTTTCTCCTACCCCCATGTCCAGAGATACATCTTTTCACGGATGCTTCTCTTCAGAAATGGGGCCCTTATATAAGGGATATGGAATTAAAGAGCCTCTGGACAGACAAGGAATCTTTTCTCCATATCAATCTCTTAGAGCTTCTAAAAGTTCAAGGAGCTATGTCTCAGGATCTCACTTTTCCTCAAGGAAAGGTGGTAATGCTTCACTCAGATAATTCCACTGTTGTCTTTCATATTTCCATTCAAGTGGGCACTCATTCCAGGTCTCTTTTGGGCCCACAATCATCAGATTGTTCTCGTTGTTTGTCATGTTCTGGGTGTAATGAATTTAGTGGCAGATCAGTTATATGGTCCCCAAAGATTTCTTCCCATGGAATGGATGCTTCATCCACAAGTTTTTGTTGGATCTGCTCTCATCTCAAGAATCCTCAGATCAATGCTTTCACCACAAACTGGAATGCCCTGCTCCTTGCCTTCTAGTCTCCAGTACCTCACCCTCAGGCTTTGGGCACATATGTTCTCAGTCAGGATTGGATGTCTTCATCTTTATGTTTTCCCTCCTATTCATCTGTTATGTAAGGTTTTGCACTGATTCACTCCTCCTCCTCCAGTGATAACCATTCTCTGCTATCACGCCTGGATTTTAGGTAGTCCTTTGCACGATGTCAGGGATTGACTTCTCATGTGGCTTCTTTCTCAATGCAGTCCATTCAGTATTCTTTGTTGGATGTTTCTCAAAGGAAATGGTTTACTTATCATCAGTGATCTCTCAGACAAGGTTTTAATCCTTCTCATCCACTGTGCCACATTTCTCAATTTCTGACATGATTATTTGACAAAGGTTTGTTGCCTTCACCTATTTCTCTGTATTAGGCAGTTTTGTCAGCTACATTTCATATTTTGGGAGACATAAAGTTTTTAATCCCCAATTTTGTCCTTTCTTCTGAAATATTTTGAGTTGTCTGTCCTCAACGTCCTTTCCAGGATCCTAGTTGGGATATCACAGTGGTTCTCCATGCCTTATCTCATCCTTTCTTTGAACCTTTGGCATCATGTTCCCTATATCATCTTTTTCTTAAGATTTATTTTCTCCCATTGTTGGCTAGCAGCCAGTGACTTTCAGATATGTTTGTGATTCGTGTTCACAGGATTCCTTACTATTCCACTTATGTTCTGTTGCATCCCAATAGGTCCTTTCTCCCCAAAATTCAGCAGCTAGAGAAGGGGATAAAGCTTTGTCTTCTATTCATCTTCTGTCCATTTCTCATTTTTTATGACCACTTGGATCCAGATCATCTTTTATGCCTGGTTCAGGATCTCCGATGTTATGTTACATGCATTTAAGGGTTTTGAGGTTCATGTTACAGTTTTTTTCTCCATTTGGGATCCTAAGGTGTCATGTGACTTATCCTCAGTCACATTGGTAGGTTGGGTTCATCAGTTTGTTTGTATCACTAATTCTGGGCTTTAATTGGAGGAGTGGAGGCTTTTTTGGGTTTCGTCTCATCAAGTTCACCATATCTCAGTGTCCCTGGTGATCAGTTATGTTGCCTGCTGGAGGAGATTGTACAGGCTGGTATGTGTACCATGTCTAATACTTTTATCTCTCATTACTTACATGATTTGATGGTTGCTTCCTCAGAAGGTTTTTGGCTACTCTCAGTGGCTATTCTCCATGCCCCAGCTAGATTGTAAGAGAGGTGACTGACTTCATTTCTTTTGTTTATTTTTATTCTTTTTAGGAACCCTCTCATGATTTCATTTGAATCCCACTCAGTGATGGGTTTTGCCTGGTCAAATATGCTTCTTTCCAAATCCACACTAGCTATAAGTCGACCAATAAAATATTGTACCTGGTAGCAACAAACTCTGTTGAGATGAGATGTTCCACTAGACCACCTTGTGCACTTTCCAGGTGGATGATAAACACTTATATACACTACTGGACAGTCGCTCATGGACTATCATGAGTAAAGCTTAAGGGGATTTTGCCCATCCCCTCTGACCCTTGGATTGAATAAATTGGGGTCAATTTGCTTTTCGTAAAAGGGAACATGGTTTATCTAATGCACTGTCTCGGAGCATCATTCCTCAGGACTCCTCAATGCGAGTATCCCCCCTTTTCTTTTAGTGATGTGTGGGAGTCCTTATCAATCCCAGTTTCCAGTTGCTGGAATGGTGAGAAGAGGTCTCTTCCTCCTGAGTGATGGTTGAATTAATTATTCCACAAGCAGAGAAGAGGAGGAAACTGGGTGCCCTCCTACCAATAACCCTGGATAGTTTTTCCAGTTGTATGGTGGGAGCAAAACCAGCCTACATGGAAGCCTGCTCATAATTCCAGTTCAGAGCTGACTCTGCTATCCAGTTGAGTTGAGTGTGGCCCTTCTTTTTGGTCGTTATCTTCATTTTGATGATAGACTCCTCATAATTCTGCATGTAGAGCATTTATTCCTGTGCCATTTATTGGACTTAGTTTGTTCCACATCCTCCTCTTATTTTGGAAACAGGAGGTGTTGCCTTGCCTTTCAGGTTGGGGAGTTAGGATGTTTGTTCATAATCCCAGGCTGAGTAATATCTGTATCTTCAGGTTGAGTCCCTTAAATTCCGAGTTGGGTTTGTTTCATTTTGCACTTCTTCAGGTTGGAGCAATGGTTTGTACACTTTTGTGTTGCTTGCCTTCTCTTTGTAATAATGGTGGCTCAAAATGCAACATTCAGTAACTTTTAGGTAGGTTCTGATAAAACCACATTACAAACAAAAACAAATATAAAGTGTTCCTCATGCCATAGCCACTATGCTTGGAACTTGTCCTATAATTCCAATGATGAGATGTGGAACCTTGTCTGCCTGGCTAGGGCATTGACGAATTCATGTTCTTCTAATGAGGTTCAGAAAGGAACTATCAGACACCAGAATTTTCTGTAGAAACAGTTTGTCAAGCTCATTCTCATGCATATCACTAATCAACATGCTGCTCATGAAGTAAAAACAATCAAGTCTCAACGAGATGAGTTTTTCCCAATAAAGTACTCACAGTACATGAAAAAAATATCATATACCAGAAATTACTTTAAAACAGTAGAAACCCTACAAGTTCCAAGTTAATTGTCACTTATATTATTAAAAGAAGTGTTGGTTACAAAATAAGTCCTAAAAATTGAGAGTTGCAATGGTACTTATCCCATCATAGAAACCTTAGTACATGAAAAGGAGCCAACAAATAATGGAATTTGCCTTTGAAAAATATGTGCTCTGCTTGTGCCAGGCTGTTTATCACATATTTTACCAAATTAAATGCATGTTACAAAAAAGAGTGCAAAAACATTTAAAGAAAGCTCATAATACACAAAAGGAAGTTTCAGATACAAATACTTACATTACAAAAAATACAAGCTCTCATTCTCCCATATATTGCAAAATGAAATAAATACAGACTATAAAATATGCAGAAAAATCAAGGGTCATTAAGTTGATTTTTCCACCGTTTGGCATAAATAATCTGAAAAGACGTTATAAGATTGAAGAATTTACCTTATGAAAAATTCAAGCTTTATGTGTGTTAGGCTGATTTTCACACCTATATTACCAAACCACTTGCTGACTACAAAATAAACCACAAAAACTGGGTGTTTGCTGAGTTTTCTCTCAAGTGGACTTGCAGTATATAAAATAAGAAATCATACACCTACATTTTCTCTTTAAAAAAATGTTGTGTATTTTTGCATGTAATACTAAGACATTAAAAAACAATCAAGTGTTGTTGAGAGGGTTATCCCACTAAAATGTAAAGAGCACATGAAAAAGAAGTTCCAGATACCAGTAGTTACATTATAAAAATTACAGATCTGTATATAACGGGCTAATTCCGAGATATGTTGCTAACATAAATATGACCTACCAAACAAACCCTAAAAAATTGGGATTACTCAGTTTTCCTGCTAGATGGCTTGGAGTACATAAAAGGGGTCTGTCAGATACTGGTATTTACTGTAGAACAAATGCAAACTCTGTGTGGGCAAGGCTGATATTAACACATATTGCTAAATGAAATAAATGCAAGCTATTAAAACGAGCCCCAGTATGGATGGTCATTCAGTTAGTTATTCTAAGAGAGTTAAGAGTACATAAAAAGAATTGTTACATACTAGTATCTACCTAATAAAAAGTACAAGATCTGCTTGTGATAAAACTAGCCTCCCCCCCCCCAAAAAAAAAAATTAAGGTTGAATAATTACTTTTCCCACCATAGGGCTAAAAGTGCATGAAAAGGAGCTATCAGATACCTGAACAGGCTTTAAAAAAAATACATACGTGTACCAGACTGATAATCACATATATTACTAAACGAAATATAAGCTACAAAACA